AGTTTGTTGCTTTACAAGCTCTTAGTTACTCATAGTTTGTTTGATGCACTTTTTAGTTGTTTACTTGCACATTTTTAGTTTATTTACGGTGTAAACAAAAAGTAAGTTTTTGGAGAGATTTTTTTTTTTTTTGTGGTGGGCAGTGGAGACTATGAATTGAGTTATATAGCGATAGGATGTCTAGGTTAAAAAATAACTGCTCTTAAGATGCATCGATTGGTGTTGATTCAGAAATACTACAGCTAAAACTGACATTTAACAAACGATTCTTTCATAAAGTATTTCTTCCTAACTTATGCGAATCCTTACGATCACTGTAAAGATTTATACTTGCAAACCATTTGATCAAATTTGTCAGTAAGACACCTTTGAAAAACTACAAATCAGGGTTGGCAAAATTGACACTATTTTTTTCTAAAATTCGATTTTTAATAGTTCAATGGTACACCAATAACCTGGATGTTTAAAGTACCTTTTACTAGACTATGGGCTAGTCTAATAATGACTTTTATATGGTTTAGTATATTAATTAGTCTAGAGACTATGAATGAGTCTTAGGGCTATTCTATGGCCAAGTCCATTGTGTAGTCTATAGACGAGTCAATTTTCTAGTCTAGAGACAAATATATTGTCTATAGTCTAATATAACTATTGTCTAGTCTATGGACTATTTTATTGTCTAAAATATATACTATTTTTTTCTCTAGTATATAGACTAATATTTTTTTCTAGTCTATAGACTAATCTATACTCTAGTTTATAGACTTTTTTTCTTCTTTAGACTGTTCTTATCTCCAGACTACAGACTAGTTCGGAACTGCAACGGAGAAAGTAAAATACAGAAGTGCCGATTCTAGATATTTCAAAGCAATTTTTAGATTTTAGAGTTTTATTTGCTGCCATTTTCTCAATTATATTCAAAATTGTAACGAAGATTATAAACATCTAATTTTATTCCGAATTCGGTCTATAATTCGTTGACAATTTAATTTCTCCCTATAGCCTAATGGCCTGCCTATACTAATGCTGCAATATGTTGATTGAGAGAGCGAATGGAATAAACAAGACGTTGGAAAATTAGTCTTGATGATTGCACGACTACATATGATAACTAGTTCTAGTTTTTGCCATCATTAGAGTTTGATCGCTCAGTAATTTTTTGCTGTTGTTGTACCGATCGATCGGTTTCAGTTTTCTGATCTCAGCTTTGGGATTTTAGAACATGTGGCCCAAAGTTAAAATTTTGATCTAAAATAGGTCAAATTTGGAGGGGTGTAGAAGCGAGATATTACAAAAAAAAAAAAAATAAATGTTTATACCAAGATATTTCTCATAAGGATACTTTTCAGAAAATCATAAAACTTGTAGATGTTTTTAAAGAAAGTTTGATTTGATATATGTTTTTAAAGAAAGTTTGTTTTTAAAGAAAGTTGGATAAAAAAGAGGAACCTTTTCGACCAAAAACTGCAAAAATTTTTGAATTTTAAAATCGAAAAACTTTTTGGATCCATAAATGCTATTACCCTGAAATTTATTTATGTTATGTTTTAGGTAATTTAGTTCTCTAACTAACACAAAAAATTTAATCCATTCGGTCCAAAATTACGTCCTATATATGAAGAAGAGTGGACCAAAGTATGGCAAAATTTTTTAATTTCAATTTTCAAATGCATATAACTCAGAAATTATAAGAGATAAACGGCATATAGTTTGAGCTCCCTTAGCGCCGCATTTGTGGTATCCATTTTCATAACTGAAATTCGAAAACTCCTTGGCTACGCCCGTGTAAAGTTTTAGCCCTTTAGAATCGGTTTAGGCGGGACAATGCGATTGGAGGTACAATAGTTTTCTAAAGGATATTTCTATGTAAGAATTATATGTTTGTTCTGGTTGCAATATTTTTGATAATCAAATTTCCGTTAAAAAAGATTGGCAATTGATTGAGATTAATAAGATTTAAAAATGTCCCTACTTTTGTAAAAACCAAACTGCCCTACTTTTCGTAGGTGATTTCATGTAAAAAAAAGACAAAAACAAACCTTGTATTCATTTTTATGATATTTTTCGACCGTTATATATGTTTCTGTTTTCAAATCTTTATTTTTCAATAGACCATCTAGTAGCCATCATCCTAAAATCACACCATTGTCCTCCCACGAGAAAAGACATCTCCTTTGCCATTACATTTTTGTATTTATTTCTTTTAGCCTTTGCAACTGAGTTGTAAAAATGCGTTTTAATGGTTCAATAAAACAGCGAAAATAAGAAATATTTTTTTCTAGTAATGTCCGTAACTGTTGTAAAAAACTTGTAAAAATGGTAAGAAATAAATATTGTTGTACATACCAAGAAGTTGTGCATTAAAATTTTTCAAAAAACGAAAACAATTAGCGTAAACAAGCAGTTTGTAGGGGAAAAAATGTAAAATTTAGTTGCTTTTCTTTTAATGGTGTATTGGCTAAAAAGAACATGTATTTTGTATTTATGATTTCTTATACAAAATGCTGTGTATGGTGGCGACTTTAAGAAAACAATTTTTGTTGGTACAACAAAGTTACACTTTGTATGGTTGGTTGGAAAATATCTTTATGATGCAATATGTTTTTGGTAAAAAGTTCTTTTAATGATAAATGTAAGGCACATTAAAATATTTTATGTTTTCTACAAAATGTTAGAATAACACTAACCAAGTTCAAGAACCAAGAGTTCTAAAGTATTATATTTACTTATATTTCCCCATAAAAAAATTCTCTAAAATGCAGGTCCATATCTCAGTCTAAAAATAAATCGTGCAACCCCAATAATACCAGCACCTAGTTCATGTTTCTAAATTTGTCATTACAACATAAATTTAGTTGAGCTGAAAATAATTGGCAAGATTTCAATATTTTAGGAGTTTTAGTCTACATTCTTTATGTACCCACACAAAGCTAATGGCATTGAATTCTTCAGGCACCTGCATTGTCAAGATTGCTTTGCTAAGTAAATAATAGAGCAGAATAATTTTTAAATTAGACACACACTTTGTCTTCGTTTTCCACATATGATTCTTAAATTGTTATCATTTATTAATTTCAACCATAGTTTTTTAATGTATTTGTTTTTATTATTTTTTTTTATTACTTACAAAACAAAATGAACAAAAAATATACAAAAAAGGACATTTCTAAAACAAATTTTGTTTCTGTTACTTTGAAGTGGGTGAGTTTTTCTTTTCGAAGCGCAACAGCAGCTCTAGTTCTGGTTGGTAATCAGTTAGAGGCTACGTTGTTATTACCCAAATGTTGTTGTTGTTGAAGATGTTAAATAATCATGTCTTTTACGCTTAAATAAAAAAGAAAATCAACAAGAAATGCTTAGAAGCATTTGCGGTGGACAATGCCGGGACCGGATTCATCGTATTCCTGTTTGGAGATCCACATCTGTTGGAAGGTAGACAAGGAGGCCAAGATGGAGCCACCAATCCATACGGAGTATTTTCTTTCAGGTGGGGCAATGATCTTAATCTTAATGGTAGATGGAGCCAAGGCAGTGATTTCCTTTTGCATACGATCAGCAATACCTAAAAGTATTAAGAGAAATATGTAAAATTAAAAAAGTTCTAAATGCGAAAATAAACAGTTGTAATAAAAATTACCAGGATACATGGTGGTACCACCAGACAAGACATTGTTGGCATACAAGTCCTTTCTGATGTCGACATCGCACTTCATGATGGATTGGTAGACAGTTTCATGAATACCGCAAGACTCCATACCCAAGAAAGAGGGTTGGAAGAGAGCTTCGGGGGAACGGAAACGTTCGTTGCCAATGGTGATGACTTGACCATCAGGCAATTCATAGGATTTCTCCAATGAGGTGGAGGCAGCAGCAGTAGCCATTTCTTGCTCAAAGTCCAAAGCAACATAGCACAATTTTTCCTTAATATCACGTACAATTTCACGTTCAGCAGTGGTGGTGAAGGAATAACCTCTTTCGGTCAAGATCTTCATCAAGTAATCAGTCAAGTCGCGACCAGCCAAATCCAAACGGAGGATGGCATGGGGCAAAGCATAACCTTCATAGATGGGTACAGTGTGAGAGACACCATCACCAGAATCCAATACAATACCAGTGGTACGACCGGAGGCGTATAGAGACAATACAGCCTGGATGGCAACATACATGGCGGGTGAGTTGAAGGTCTCAAACATGATTTGAGTCATCTTCTCACGATTGGCTTTGGGATTCAAAGGAGCTTCAGTCAACAAGACGGGATGTTCTTCAGGGGCTACACGCAATTCATTGTAGAAGGTATGATGCCATACTTTTTCCATATCATCCCAGTTGGTGATGATACCGTGTTCAATGGGATATTTCAAAGTAAGAATACCACGTTTGCTCTGGGCTTCATCACCAACGTAGCAATCCTTTTGACCCATACCGACCATCACACCTTGATGGCGTGGACGGCCAACAATGGAGGGGAAGACGGCACGTGGAGCATCATCGCCAGCGAAACCAGCCTTGCACATACCAGATCCATTGTCTACGACAAGAGCAGAGGGTTCATCATCACACATTTTGGCGTTGGTTTAGATTACTAAAAGGATTAACAGGACGAAAACAAAATTACACACACGTATTTCAAAGGATTCAATTTTATAATTTATTTTTATTTTTTTTTTTTAATATTTAATCCAATTTTTAAGAAAACGTTTAGCTGGTTGTTCTCAACACTTACACTGTACTGACACTTGAAAAAAGAATGAACAACGGAACAACCGGATGGTATGTTTATGCGAATGTTGCAGCGACCAGAGTGATTCTAGTTGATACAGATCAACGTCTTTTTAAATCAACATGATTCTTCCCTTCATATGACACTAACTCACTCATACACTCACGCACAGTTACACTCATACATTTGCAATCAAATATTATTAAAACAAATCACTTTAGAGTAGAACAATAACAACAAAACAATATATATTTATTTTAAAATCATTTTTCAGAGAGATCTTTTTTAGACAATTTATATAAATTTAAATTTGACAACAACAAAAAACTGCAGAAAAAAAGAAGAAGCAACAAAAAAGTTTCGAGAGATGCCAAAAAGTAATGACAAAGAGTCAATGCAACTTAGATGATGACAAGTTGCACCACTAGGGCCATGAAGGGAACAGAGATCGCAGTGTGGTAGGCGCAGGACTATAATACAAAAGTATACATATGTATGAAATATATTTATATTGTTCTAAAATTATATTATTAAAATGATAATAATACAATTTGTTCTATTGTATTGTTCTCAAGAAACAACAAAAAGAACAACAATGATGTCGATGTAAAGAAACAACAAAATTGTTTATAAAATTACCAAAGATGGTATGACTTGAAAATGCTTTCAATTTTGTTGCTACACATTTGTTGCACAAGATCAACAGTGGCTAATCGAGAGATGGGAAGAAGTGCAAATAGTTGGGTTTTTTATTGTTATAGAAAAGGGTACTAGAATAGTGGTTATCGGGACTTTTTCAATATTTTATTCTATAATATAATAGACATATCTAGTAAATAATAAAAATTTGCACTTCAAAGTAGATATAGATAATGGACGCGATTAATCTGTCTGTCGGTCCGTCTGTACATAAATTTGTTTTGTTGAAATAAAATTTTTAAACATCCCAAATCATCAATAATTCTTGAAGTTTGTTGTTTAAATCGTCAAAATTGGTCATAAACCAGAGATGGAAAGAATTCATGAAAATGTTTTTTTTTTGGAAAAATTTAAATAAAAAGATTTAAATCTTAAAACAAATAATAGCGATACATTCGGATATGCCGACACATCATCAAAGGGTTGCAAATTAAAGTTAGTTTTGGAAGGTGTTACAATATATGGTCTTAGGTCTGAGGAATTTTACGGAGACTTTATTAAATTATGAACCAGGCTCCACAGAATTTGAAATTGTGTGAGGGATAGGGTCAATTATGGTCCGAATTTTGTTAGAGGCATTTTAGTTTCTATATATCATTGCTATAATTGTATTTTTAAGACAATTATGAGCGTTAAAGTTATTTTATAAAGGGAACCATTAAGAGGGATAGATAGGGTTAATAATGGACCGATCCTTATAAGATATGGTACAGAGGTTCTGCCTTCTATAAGACCAGTTTTTGTCGAATCTGTGCATTTATTTTTATATTACCATTAAGTAATTTTCTGAAGTGGTCCTTATACAAAGAGTAGAATCAATTATGGACCGACCCTCATAAAATTTGGTAGAAAGATTTTTGTTCGTAAAAAAGACTATATCGATAACTGGTATTATTAGGCAGGTTATGAGCGTGGATATAATTTTCAGAACGGGACCTTGTCTAGGGTATAAGTTCAATTATGGTCCGATATCCCCAATAAATTAGACAATAATTTTTAGTTGCATAAAGCACAATTTTATCACGATTAATGTATAAGTAACTGGCTAGTAAGTTGGTTGAGGTTCCTTCGGGATCCACGTAGTGGCTGTGATTTAGACCCACATTCACTGAAAGTAGGTACTTGGTTAAAAGATTGATACACGGTGAAATGTAAAATTTTTGGGATATGTTTCTGTTGGTGTATTGCAATCCCGGTGTAAAGAGGTGCTCTCCCTCTGGTCTGCCAGGGCTTTAAACTGGTGATGATATCCTCGACCTTTCTTTGGAATGATTTGACATGGTGTCGAACCAGAGCACCACATAATCTGGTACTTCGAGTGGCCAGTGAATTCCTTCGGGATCCACGTAGTGGCTGTGATTTAAACCCAAATTCGCGGGAAGGGGAGGATTGATACACGAAAATGGTGGTTGGATTTGATAATGCAAACACTGGATATGCGTTGGTGTTCGATGTACCATCAGATACTTGTATGTGATGGATTGGAGAGATTCTGAGTTGTATCCGAGATAAGTCGGATGGAGTGACGGATAAGGTGATGGGTGGAGTGGCGAAGGAGATGGTGTGCTAAACTAAAGTTTGGCGAATCGGTCTGAAATTTTGGCGGAGTTGTTAATACCTTAATCTTTAATTTATCAGTGATTTTCCTTCATGGTTGAGTATGTTAGAGTTTACTCTAAAACATGCTCAACTTATCAAAGTAGGTCTTTGTGGCCACTGGAATAGTCTTGTCAATTAAAAATGAATCCGTGTTTCAGACTACCAATTACGTCCTCTAGGTGCTGTTGCCGAATCAACAGAAGCCATCTCAGTAGTGTGGTTTGGCGACTTTAAGAGGTCCAGGAATGCACTGGGTTGAGTCTTTAGATGATGGGAATGTTTGTAGGGACAATGGCATTCTTCATAGCATCAATAGGGTGTTTTCACTTGATATTGGGTCCGCCTCTTCTTTTCCTTTGTCGGGGTTAGATTGAGCTTAACTCTTGACACCTGTTATTCCCCAACGGGACAACTATGGCAAGAGATCAGATAGCTCGAGTACTTGAGGAAAATGCACGTATACAGGACCGGAAATTCCATATACGTAAATTGGAAATTATAGATCTGCAACAAATATTTCGATGTGTTATATACAGAATTACAAAATTAATCTGTTTTGATAAGGAATTTGATAATGTCAAACTGAATGTTTTTTACTCTACAATATAAAGTTCGTAGAAAAATTTATCAAAAACTTTGAAGGATATTCAAGGATTAAAACTTTCAAGGACATTTTTGTTCTAGCATTCTCCTGATGAAATTGGATTTTAAAAATAATGTAAGGACCAAAAGCCAAATTTGCAAAAAATACAATTGAATTTATTCTTCCTTTCAAACTTTAAAGTCCTTTTAATGGTAGAAACGATCAAAAAACGCAAAACTGAAAATGTAAATTTACTATATTACAATTTAAATAAATAGCCTAAACTACTAAATTTTTATGTATCTAGCTTATAATAGATTCCATAAAGATGCATAACTTAAGTTTAGATTTTTAATAAAAACGTAAATGAAAGATTAAGCTTGTACAAACTGAATGACTTTTAATAAGAATTATATAATATTTTTTTTATACCCACCACCAAAAAAGATGGGGGGTATATTGTTTTTGTCATTCCGTTTGTAACACATTGAAATATTCGCCTAAGACCCATAAAAGTATATATATTCTGGAGCCTTATTAGATTCTAAGACGATCTAGCCATGTCCGTCCGTCTGTCTGTTGAAAACACGATAGAGTCCAAATGGAAGTAGCTAGCGAGCTGAAATTTTGCACGGATACTTTTAGTTGATGCAGTTTGTTTGGTATTGAAAATGGGCAACATCAGTCCACAATTTCGCCTAGCCTCCATGTAAGGCCCCCTTCAGAAAATGACTTTATCGCTCATAACTTGCTAAGGGAAGAACCAATAGCGGTGAAATTTGGCACAAACATGTTTTATGGGAACATAAATCTCACCGTTGAATTTTATAAGGATCGGTTCATAATTGACCCTTCCCCCATATAAAGTCCCCTTCAGAAAATTACTTTATCGCCCACAACTGACTAAGAAATGCATCAATAGCGGTGAAATTCGGCACAAACATGTTTTATGGGAACATAAATCTCCTCGTAGAATTTTATAAGGATCGGTCCATAATTGACCCTACCCCCCATATAAAGTCCCCTTCAGAAAATGACTTTATCGCCCATAACTTGCTAAGGGAAGGACCAATAGCGGTGAAATTTGGCACAAACATGTTTTATTGGAACATAAATCTCTTCGTAGAATTTTATAAGGATCGGTTCATAATTGACCCTACCCCCTATATAAAGTCCCCTTCAGAAAATGACTTTATCGCCCATAACTTGCTAACGGAAGAACAAATAGCGGTGAAATTTGGCACAAATATGTTTTATGGGAACATAATTAATATTTTTAATTCGGAAGAGCACGGTCCATGCTTAAGCCCTTATTAAATTCGGCATGGCCGAATATAATACTCTTACTTGTTTTTTTTGAAATTAGATCAAGATTTATAATAAACAGCTCCAAATTACAAATAAATCATTTGCTTAATTATATGTACTATATGAATGTATATATATTGAAATATATATAATATATAAATATTAAAAAATATTTGTGTTTATATGAAAAATGAACGATGTATTTTCATTCATACACAAATAAGGTGTCATTCATATTACCTGTTGAAAAGATAAAATTCATAAAATTTTTACCTAATTTGCGCTTTAGATGAGAAAAAAATGCCTCATTTTGTTGCCAAGAGATTTTAATAATTTCTATTAAACATTTAAGAAAAATATTAGATAATAAGCTATGATACATTGGCACATATGCACATACAAACATAAATGTATATATATGTATATATCTCGGTAAAATACTTATACATTTATGTTTCAGCATCGTGGTGTTTGTTTGCTACAAATACCCATACATAAGAACAAACAATTGATGTAATTGAAAATAAGTATTTTTTTCTCTAATTAAATTAGTTGAATGTACAAAAAAAAAAAAATATGTATATTTTTGTTTTAGTATAGACTAAAAAGAAAATATGTAAATATTAAACATTTTACGAAACTAAAAATATAAAATTAAAGAAACTAAGGGATATTTGTTTTTCGTAAGTACAATTATTTCCTTGCATACATCGACACATCTATAACGAAAATAAAAATAATTATTTTAAGATAAACTATAGTGTTTTTTTTTTTGCACTAAAATATTACCGCATTTGATATACTAGATTTTGATAGTTTTGTTCATTATTATTTGTTAGTAGTTTCAAGAAATTATGTACATGCAAAATTGTTTAAATGAACGATGCCACTTTGTGGAATAGTGAAGGTTATTTGATTAGGGGCGATGTTTAACCTCATTGTTATGAGCTTTTTTTATTAGCTCATAAGAATGAGGCTAAACATCGCCCCTAATCAAAAAATGTTATTATTTTACTATTAACTTGTTACTATTATTTGAAAGAAATGGTAGAAATGTTGTATAATCTTATGGATGGAGATCAGACCTGATT